CAGTTCTGCCAAGAAGAAGACAAGCTCCAAATGGAGTGCCTTTGGTGCTCAACGTTCTCTAGGGAGTGGAGCGGTGATGCCAGGAGCAATTGTGTCTCATTACTATAGAACTATGAATTAGATTAAAGGCCATTTTCTACAGGTCTTCGAAGAGGTTGAAGATTATACTACTTATACTAAATATGATCTCTATGCACCTAAATAACCTGAATAGCCTAAATATAAGTATGACAAACATATATGACTATTGATTTATATCTGTCTAACTTGAAGACTAAGAGAATAAACAACTGTGCAATGAATGAGGACAATGACCTCCAAATGTAAACAATGTATATCATCACGTAAATATCTTAATCAGAGGTAGAAATGTAAATATGTATGTATATCAATATGAACAGAGGTAAAAGCATACTCACACACAATATATAGAGGTAGAAGCATACTCACATACAATATTTAATATATCAATGTACAAGAATCAACACCAATACAATTTTCTAAAAACAATGACTCACAAATACCAATATATTATTATCCCATTACCAATCAATCCCCCCCTTTTTTTTTAACCAAGGAGAAGGGTGTCAGAAAGTCTAGCCCTGAACACTTGTTCACACCTGTCGCCTCAGCCTGAGGTGACAGGTTTTCTCACCTCCTGTGGCTTGGGCATTTAGGGAAGTCAGTTAAGTACTTCATTTCCTTGATGTCAGTAGGAGTGTAGTCAGAGATGGGGACCCATCAACAAAGCAAGCAATGGGAAAACTGGCAAGGCACTCAGTAATGCTGTAGACATTTTTCTCACTGGTCGTCGAGTCACAGAAGACAGCTAGCTAGCTTCTGCTCCCGGGCATTTACTTCGTAGAGATCAGTGACAAGTCCAGAGAGGCCACCAGAAGAGGGGCCGTAAAACCATGAAGTCTTGTTTGTTTCCTGATAACAGTGACTGTATTTGTTATATTCTTCTTGATGAAATTTGACATTTTGTAGCTAAGGATCAGCTGACAACCGAGTATTTCTAAGAATATTATCTTTTTGCCACAATCTCCATATTCAAAGAATCAGCAGCATATTTTACTCCTTTGTAATGTGCGTTCTCTTTTTTATGACTTTATTGCTTTAACCTGGAAAACCCTGTAACTTTCAAACCATAAACTAACAGTTCTAGTCAAGACCACAAGGCAACTAACAGATAGTGGAGAGCTGAAATAACTTATTTCACCACAGAGTTAAATGGCATCCCATCTCCCCTTGTCTCCCACTAACCCTCCCATCATTTCCACTATATGGCTGCTGACCACATTCCCAACTGTTTCAGTGTAAAATATAACTCAGTGTGACACTAAGATGGGTCACTTACAAAGAACCAGAGAAGGAGGATTAAGAAAAATCTAGCTCTAACCCATTTTGTAGAATGTTGCTGTGGGCCAGTGCAGGCAGTTATTAAACTACTCAGATAGTGACAAATGGCATTTAACTTGCTGCTCTAAGACTTCTTTATTGAGCTTGTATTTTCTAGATACCAATTTTAGAATAGAAAGCATGCATCTCTTGATAATGTTAATGATAATCAATCTTTCCAGTGTTAAGGAGACCATAAATCAAGGTCATTGACTGTGTGATCTGCTTTTTCACCTCAAAAATATCACTGCTGTTCTCTTTTAGTAATAGATAAAATACTCTAGAAAAAAAATACAGGCTTTGCATGTTTAGTAATGTCAGGAGCAAAAACATAACAGAGCAGAAAAATCAATGCTACAGTATCAGGCAGGCTTTGATTCTGACCTGGCTCTGCCATGTAATAGCTGGTGTTCCTGAATAAGTTGTTCACTCTACTTGGAAAGAGTCCACATCTCTACCCTCTGGGTACCGGGCCTCTGAATGTGGCCTGGTGAGATATGTATGTGAAGGTCCTGGGCCTGGGCTTGTCAGAACAAAGGTGCTTAACTCCCTTGGTTCATTTTCTTCTCCCCAGGTTATAAAGGATGGCAAGTTTTGCTATGCAAAAACGATTACTCCTCAAAGATATATATATATATATAAATACTAGGATGTGACTTTTAGACTTTCACTGAGAATTCTTTACACACCCCATCCTTCCTAAGCCAGCTCTGCTTATCGATGCACCATCATCACACACGGAACGACTTTTTCTTCACTAGGACTTATGATGGTCATCTCTTCATCGTGGAGGAGTTGTATTACAGGATTTTGACATTGAGCACTCTCAGCTGGTGACATGTGAGGTCATTTTAGAGCGGGTAGACATGGACTGCTTTCTAATGATTTTGGTATTTATATAAATTCTAATATCTATCAGACAAATGACCAATTTACCAAAGCTATAGCTTTATATATTCTTGTTTACGGTGAGGCTAAATAAAAAAGTAAGCTGATTTAGGGTAGTAAGAAAACTAAGTAAATAGGAGTAAAACCTCCATAAGGACATAGCAAAAAACAATAGAGGTAATAAAGATAATATGATGTAGAAATTACTGCCTCTGCAACAAGTAGGAACACAAAATGGACAGGTATCAATAATCCCTAACTTAGATTACCCTACAGTAATCAATGAGTATATTTTCGGGATCCTGAGCTTTTGAGTTCTCAACAGGATCTACAGAGCATCAAGAGTCCAGCAGGATCCTGCTGATGCTAGAGTACTGGGCAATGCCCAGAAAGCTGGGTAAAATTACATGGATAGCAATGTGAACTGAGCAGAAACAAAGATCAAAGCCTTCATGTGCAAGGCCAACCAAGCAAAGGGAGCCTAGAAAGGTTAGCTGTTTGGTCTAGACCTACTCTGCTCAGCTTTAGGACCCAACCCAGTTTCTGCTACTATTTCCTCCTTCAGTCCTTCAATCACTTATTTCTCCCTCAACCTACTACCTTTATGTGTACCTTTAGGAGAAAGGTACTTCCTATGCCCATACTCTGAGGAGCCACTGAGTCTCTACCCAGTATCTTACTCTCCCATACAGTACAGTAAAAGATTGGCACTTGCACCAATAAGCTTCTTCTCAAGCCTCCTTTCTCAGTTCCAATTCTGAGGTGGGAAGACTGCTGTTCTTGTCATGCTGGATTGGAATACAGAAGGAAAAATTCCCCTAGGAAAAAGGTATTTCATGAACCAGCAATATACTGTTTCATGTATGTTCCCAATTATTCAAGAGCCCTCAAGCTAGGCTGGGAACCTAATTATCAATTTACACTAATGACTTAGGTGGAAATATGTTTAAGACTTCAAGTTAAACTTGGGGTTGAACTGTTCCAAGGGTGGGGAACACTCAAGACTTAAAAATATAGCCAATATCTTACTAGTGAATGCTCAATTCTAATATCTTACACTTTTTCCTTTTTATTAGCATATTCAAAAACAGATTTTTAAAATAATCAATCATGGCTAACTGTAGAAAAACAACTGACCTCTCCACTCCCAAAACAGGGACCCCGCTTTTACGTTTGAGGAAAATTCTAGACTCATAAATACAATTCCAATTAGCATTTTTCAAATAAGACTCCTTAGTATTAAGTTATCCCCTGGATAGCCTGGGATACCTAACACTCACCATACTCTACTTGTGGGTCTTAATCCCATCTCTGGCTTTTAACCTAAAACGCTCCATTCTTGTTAGATTAAAGAATCATCTGGGGCACATTTAAAAAACAGGATTCTGGCCCAATTCAGTAATGAATCAGAGTCTCAAGGGAGTGCTGGAGACACCCATTTTTAAGTACTGCCTATTTCTGGCAACACCATCTCGTGGTTCTTAGCCTGGTTCTTATTAGGATCAAGTGCAGGGCTTGCCAAAACACAGAGAGGTATCCCAACTCAGTAGATGTAGGATGGATCCTAGGAATTCCCATTTCTAAGAAAAGCCCAAGTAATGATGAAGCACCACAGGGATCACACTTCCCAAAACAACCTACTGAAGGGCGAAGACTACCTAGCTGGTAAAGTGCTTGCCTAGCAGGCACAAGCACCTCCAGTACCAATATAAAAAGCCAGACACGAAGAGATGAACATGTAATCCTAGCGCTGGCGAGGGGAGAACGGGTGGGAACCCTGGGGCCAGCCAACCTAGCTTCTTAACCAGCTAACGCAAAGAGACGGCTGCCTTAAAACCTATGGATGACACCGAGGTAGACATCTGGTCTTCATGCACATGCACTAGACACAGGCTCTTCTTCCTCAACTGGACCAAGCCCCATTTATTAGCCTGGTTGGTTGCTACTGCAGTTTAGTGGATGGCTAATTTTTATTTTTCTTGCACCCCCCTTTTAAACATCACTAGATTAGAATTTATTAGACTTCCTTTCAATTCATATCCCTGCTATATCTTAGCTGCCATTCATTCAGAGTTTCTTCTTACATAAAGGATTATTAAAAGGAAGCACTATGGAGAAACTCTGGCAATGTCCTCAACACACAGCAGGCCAGCATGAAACATTCTTTGTTCTCTCAAGTGTGCCTTTGCCACAATCCGATCGTCCTGTGAATGACAGTGAATTTTGCTGGGGCCTAGAAACCTCACAAGCTCACCGCACACACTTCCTCTGGCTATAAGAAAGAGCAAGCCACAATGACTGACCACGTCTTTCCTCAGAAAAGAAACTATGCAGAGCTACATTCTAAACATACTCAGTGGGAATACACTCAACTTCCTCACTCACCTCTTGTGAGGAAAACAAAAATAGAAAGGGATAGATCCGGGTTAGCTCTCTGAGAGAACTTTATTATGCTGTTTGCCTGTTTTCTGTCCTAAAAATCAAGTGAATTACTACTTTCACATGCAGGGTGGTCCCGGACATCATGCAGCAATCTCACCAGGGCTGAAAACATCTCCAGTGTTTGGTGAACACTCAGAACACAGAACACACAAAATCCTGTCTGAGCATTAGCTCCCCATAGGTGGGTATAATCATGATCTCAACTGAGATGAAAATGCCATGATGCCACTTAAAGGACTGACGGTTCAAAGAAGAAATGGAGTTCTTACTTTCTGCGAAACATCTCTGCAAATATGCAGCCGACACTCCAGAGATCCACGGGCGTGGCGTAGCTGGACTGGAGCAAGACTTCTGGGGCTCGGTACCACAGTGTAACAACCTGTAACAGCGAAGGGATCTGAGCATGAATGAGAAAGCCAGCTGTCGGACTCCATGCCAATCCTGCGAGGCTCACAGACAAGATTCAGGTCATTATACACCATGGCAAGAGTATGACAAGGACACACAATGCACAGGGCGTGTTCACAGGCCAGAAAATTGCATCAAATTGCATCACCCCGCACCCTGGGCTCCCATTTCAGACAGTCTTCTTCATGGGACCAGAAATGGCAAATAACACAAGTTTCAGAAAGTAAGTAAAAAAAAAAAAAACAAAGCCAAAACTCTTATCGCAGAACTCCCCCACTTGTGACTTCAAAACAACACATGAAAAACAACAATGGTTCAATTCCCAAGTCACTGTTAGAAAATGAAGAGACTCCAGTGATTGCTGGAGGATGACCCTGAAGTGTACAGAGCATCCCAGGCCAAGTCAAAACTGGTCTTATTACAACACTGTGGGGAATCCAAACAAACTTCCCTACTGCTCTTTCAGCAAGCAAAACTGAGGAAAAACAAGAAAGAATGCAAAACCCAAGTATTTGCATCCAAGATCAAGGATGGGAGCTGCAATCCCAAGAACCCATTTAACAGGAAACATGAAAGAAGCACACCTGGAATGCTCAGAACACCAGATTAAGGCTTCAGATTTGCGTGTGTATAGGGGTCAAATGCTTCTCTGCTCTGGAGAGTAAAGGCAGGCACTCTACAGATATCTAAGATGAGGGTGTGTTCTTTATTGTTAGATACTCCATCACTATCTTTTACATATTTTAATACACATTTTACATAACTCAGATCCCCTTATCCTCATTGTTTTGTCTGTGTTACTATCTAGATTGCCTGATATACTGGCTTCATGGACTTGGATCTTGTGTTAGTTGGTGTTTGCAAGTAGCTAAAAATGTCTCCTATCAATTTCCTTCTCTCCTTGTATGTATACATTGTCCTCAGCTATCAATGAATGCGAGTTGCTTGGCCGACAGAACATGTCAGTGCTGTCTGAAGCTATCAAGTCTAATTCATAAGGCAGCTTGGGCTCTTTCAAGCGCTTGCTCTTGAGATGCTTCCTCTCCGGACCCAGCAGTGATTCTGTGAGAAGTTCACAGAGATGCTTTGACAAACAGTCCCTACTATGCTCTCAGCTGACAGCTATGCGAGCCATCAATATTGGACAATTGAGACCAGTTTGTCCCCCAGATGACTAAAGACTACTGAGGTGAGTCCAGTCAGCTTACAAGAGTATGAACAATAACAAAACGGTGTTGCTTTAACTCTTTGGGGTGAGTATACAGCAACACTGACAGTTCTCTCACCTCTTCATCCCATAGGCTTTGCCTCAAATTCACTCAGGGGTCAATTTTATTTAACAGACACTTGGCTGATAGCTAATGGAGGAGACTGTATGACAGTCATGACAGACATGGTGGCGCATCTGGGAGGCTGAGGCAGGGGAATCATGAGTTTTAAAACCAGCCTAGGCTACAGAGTTGAGACCCTATCTTAAAATAGTAACAGTCTACCTAACAACCTACAGCCCCTGCTGTCACCCATTTGTTCCCTCTGCTTTCTCAGCTCCAGCTTTTCCTCTCCCCCTCTCCATGTGTGGGAGTTCTGTCTGTCCCACAAGGCCCAGTCTCATGCCACCAGCACTCTACATCGACTGCTGCCTCTAACAGATCATCATTCCTTCCTGAGGGCTTTGGACAAGGCGTTATCCACTGCATGTCTGTAAATGCTCATTATGATACTGTATGTCCATAACAACTAGGTCTTAGTATCAGAGTAGTGACTGTAAGGCAATCAGTCCTAGGAAGATAACTGGGCAAAATTTACTTTTATTAGGAGGAGGAGCACCTCTTTATTTCTAACACAATGTTAACACAAACCATGTGCAAACTGTTCACCAAATTCCACTTGAATGGCATACATAAGCACACACACATAAATTGTGAGGGCACACATCTATTCATTTGCCTCAATTCAAAATAAAGACTAGCATTGCACCAGATGAAATTTCAAATTGAATGCCTTGCTATTTTAAGATGCACGGAGGAAACTGATTTCGTGTGTCTAACTCTAGTGAACCTGACAGTACTATCTTCATGTTCAATACTTAGTCTGAAATATCTATTATGGTCATTAAAAATGTTTCAACATTAAAAATAAAAAAATTGATAGATTTAGGAATTTTCCTTCTACCCGTTTTAAAATTTACTTACCACTCAAAATTACACACAGATTTTTATCTGATGCTTTAAAAATGTCTATTAATAGTGACCATGTGATTGTTCTTTGTTTTATAATGACAGACACTACCTTCTTGGGGTAAATCATTCCCAATCACTACATATTATCTTCTTAATACAGTTATAAACTGTTTGCAAATGTTTGCTTAGAATATTAATATTTTCAAAAGAGAGTAGTCTATGGGTTTGTTTTGTGTGTGTTACTTTTTCCTGCTTTGGCATTGGGAATATGCAACCATTTCACTTTCCTTTTCGTTCTTAATCAACCCTCTGAGAGGAAAAAGGCTAAATGTTCTGCCTCCATCTTAGTCAGCTCTGTGTCTTTGCAATTGTGTAAATTTCTTCTTGGTGAATGGGTCGCTTGTGCTTCACCCTCTTCACGAGTCAGTTTGATTAGTATCAAAGATTTCTCTATAGACTCTTCCATCTAATTTTAAACTGCATTGTCTTAAATCTACACACAGTATTTCTCACTGTCCTCGCCTTCACTGATTGTTGGTTGAACTATTTTGTGTGTGCATGTCCTTTATATTTTCTCTCTTGACATATGTCAGGTCTGCCAAGAGTTTAGTCATATTATTTTAATGGCTGAGTTACATACTTTATTTATTACCATCAGAGACTGTAACCTGTCCAATTCCTATTTCGTTGGCTTTAATTTTTTTTTCTACAATCACACCTGCTCGCTGCTGTTGTTCTGTGGCCATGAAAGAGCACTCTGCATTAAGTACAATCTTTACCAATAAGATTGTATGTCTGTACGTGCTGCACTTTTCCATAACTGTCCAATTCTAAAGGAGGTCTGAGCCTTGTCACTGCTCCCTCTAGTCTCCCCTTAAACTTTCTAAACATTTATATTTCATTCACATTTGGCCTTACATTTTTGGCAATATTAGTAAAGGAATGAGAATTCAGATGATACACATAGACTAATATACAAGTCATAGTTAATTCAGTTGTAAAATGTAAAGAAAACACATTCATTCAGCAATAAAATAAGGTAAAACAGAAATTAAAAATACAAAAGAAAAATAATACATACTGCTGCTGAAGAACATAAAACAAACAAATGCATTACAAATCACAACAATGTGGAAACGCCATATGATAAAGGTAATATTAATATGAAAAATAAGAAAACACAATGTTGTTGGGTAGAAAGCAAACTTTTGGCCCAAAGAAATAAACCAGAAGGTGACAAAGACAAAAACACCAAATTAAGTCCAGAAAGAGATTGATTTATAGGGTTTGACGCACCCACGAAGGAGTTGGTTAGGATTTAACATCATACTGCTTAAGGGGTTTGTATTAATCAAAAAGAAAACAATACAGCTGAAAAGCAGCAAGCAAAGTCAATCTATAAGAAGTACAAACCACCAAAGATGGGTGGGGAGAGTGGGGGGGGGAGGGGATAGAAGAGGAGGAGAGGAGATAGAAATGAGATAGCTCAAGGAAATTGTACTGGGGTGGGATGGGAATGATTTGGAGAAATTAGCAGAACAATATATTGAAAGCTTTAAACTACAAACGGTCACAACTCTTTGAAAAGATAGCAAGCCAACATTTATAAAATGAATAGTACATGTTCCTGATCCAGCATTCTCAAAAATATTTATATTACTAACAAATAGTTATTCCTAAGGATGTTTATGCCAAAGTAATGACTAGGAGAGCATTATTTATCTTTTAAAGAAGAATGGGATTGTTTTCATCTTATAATCCTGCTCACACAGAAATGATACCCATGAACAGTGTTGAGAGACTAATTAATTCTGAGTTCTGTTGCAATAGGTCCTGGTTTTTGTTAAAATATTATTTATATATAGGTGTGGACACAGTGTGCCTAGAAAAAGAGTGTCTGTATGGCAGCGGCATCAAGTTTGCAGTGGGTATCTGTCACAGAGCCTGGGTACCATACACAGACCAGTATGAGCACAGGGTGCTGAGAGGAGGCGAGCAAGCTGTCCTTCAGAGCTCAGAAACTGGGAATTCCAGATGGCTGAGCAGCCTGGCCCAAAGCATGCAACTGAGAAGGGCTGGGATTCCGGGCAAAGGTTATCTGATGATCTGCATCCTCCTGGAAATCTCATGGAGAACCTTTACTTCCAAACACCCACGAACCAACAGGTAAAGGCAGGTTGAAATTAAACTACTAGTGGACATGATTTTGAATTTATTTTGAAGCATTTAATTGTGAGTTTTTTTTTTTAAGGTAAGTCTGTGAACTGTAAAAATGCAGTGGCTATTGGTCTCAAATTATTTCCTTGCACCATGACTTGATAGGGAGATTGCTGTTCCTTCCCAGCACGGACCATGACAGCACTCTGTATGGGATGCCAACAACCACTGACATCCGCATAATGAACGCAGTGACTTAAGAGCCAGACTCTCAGTTGGAAAGATTTCAAAATCTCCAACTTTCCTCAAGCGAAGGTTTGCTTAGTCTCTGTAGAAATCATCACCAAGCAAAAGTAAGAGGAATTAGATTAAGTTTACACCCTATATGAACGTATGTATCTAAAGATGCATTGGTTTTGGTTGCATTTTTGTGGAAGAGAAATTGAGTTCTTAAGATTAACCCTTCTACTTAATTCTCAAGTAGAATAACAGTCCCAACAGTCCCAGCATCTACATTTAAATGTAGCAAAGCATCACTTTTTATAATAAAGTAACATTTTCTAAAAAGTCATCCTCTGGTTTATGTAGTATTCTCTCTCTCTCTTTCTCTCTCTCTCTCATTAACATCTTATTTTATATGACTACTCTATAC